ACCAGAAAGGTACAATAATTTTAAATGTAATACACTTAATATTATGGCCTCAAAATATGCAAAATTAAACTTCACAAAATTATACAGAGAAAGAGACAAAACCTCAATCAATATGGGGGATTTTGAATAAAATGAATAAGCAGCTTAAAAGATTTCCAGAATATATTAAAAAGTCACACACTATAACATAATAATGCAAGCATAAGCAAATTACAGAAATTTGCAGAACTGATCTTTCTCCTACCCTTAGTGTGAGCTCTTAACCACACATCAGATAAAAACAATGATGAGATAATGATATCAGAAACGATGTTCAAACAATGTTTTAATTTTCAAGAATGGTCTTTTAAGTAAGGTTTATATCCCCTGTCCTTAACGATGAATGAAGTGTTCGTTGTGCCTGGGGACACTTGTTAATGGTAATATGAAGTCATTGCCATTTGTTTGACACTTGAAACTTACATCCACTTTTCAGGAAATGGTGGTAGAACAGCTGGATGTCTACATTACGTAGAAGGGGCAAGAACCCTGTCCCCGACCTCAAATATTAATGCCAGAGGGATCCTAGATCCAATGTAAAAACTAAACCTGGGAAGCGTAAAACTACAAAACATAGGAAAATATCCTCATGACCTAGAACTAGGATAAACTTCTTAAATTCATGAAAGAAAATAACTGTTAAATTGAATTTTATCCATCAAACTTCAAAGCTACCCATCAAAAGACACCATGAAGATGAAGAGGCAAGTGAAAGAATAGCAGAATATATTTGTAATACATTCTAACAAAGAACTCAGATCTGTAATATATAAAGAACTGCAACAAGCCAATAAGAAAAAGACAACCATTTTTTAATGGATAAAATAAATGAACTCCATATAAGAAGATATCCAAATACATGTGCCATGATTACTTAGATAAAGGCAAGTTAAAACCACAATATTACATCAACAGGCACCAACCAGAGTGGTTAAAATTTAAAAGACCAAGGTCAAGTGTTAACAGGGATCAGAGCAACTGAACTCTCATTCATTTCTGACAGTAGCATGAACAGGAAAGCTGTTTGGCAGCTTCTAATAAAATCAAACATATACGTACTCTATGAAACTTGTGCAGGAATGCTTAGAGCATCTTTCTAATTTCCCCACACTGGACACAATTCAAATGTCCATAGGTAGGAGAATGAATACACAGATGGTGGTTTATTCATATATTTTTTGTGGCAATAATACTACAGAGCAAAGACAAAAAATAAGGTACTGATACACACACCAAACTGGATTTGTCTCAAAAACATTGAGTAAAGGAAGGTGGACACAGAAGATGATGACTCTATCTATGTAGCATTCAAGGGGAGGCAAAATTAGTCCATGTTGGTAAAGGACAGAATAATAGTTACTGCTGCAGGTTTTTAACTGGAAAGAGGTCCCAAGGCTCAGGAATTGTTTTATATCATGATCTGGGTCACCGTTATATGGGTGGCTGACTAAAAATTCACTGTGCTGTATACATAAGATTTGTGTGTTATAGGCAATGTAACAAAAAAACAAACATCTAGAATACAAAAATAAACATCTACAATTTTCTAGCAATCTTTCTTTAAGATTTATTTTTATTTATTTATGCATATAAGAATTGGGGTGTAAGCCAGAGGTGGTGGGGGTGAGAGAATTCACCAGAGTGGGGAGCAGAACAGGCAGACTGGTTGAAATACACTGCTGAGGGGAGCAGAGGGTGGGACAGGAGAGGTTTGTTGCACCTTGTGGGTCAGCTACCTGGCTGGGGATAGAACTCATGCCATAGCTTAATAGCACAGAGATTTTAACCCCTGTGCCACCAGGGAGATCCCTAATTTTCTAGCAATCTTTAAGGTAACATTCCAGTCAAAATTTAAAATAGTTCATTAGGGATCATGATAAATGTTTAGAAGCCTCTCCTAAAGTTTTTGGCGTAGAAGACCAAATTGACATACTATTCACGTATGAATATTTGCTCTTTGTTCCACATAAAAACAGCAGACATGATATGTAAAAAGAATAAAGAGAAGCTAAAATGCATTCATTTGTCAGCAAATACCGCTGAAAGACTCAGAACATATTGCTGAAGATTTGAAAATATAAGTATTAGAAAAATATGCAATGTGGAACATTTGCTGTGCAGTTGGTTTTTTCACATGTATCTTTTTTTTTTTTTTTTATTATAGAGGCATGTTTTATTATTTATTTGTTTGTTTGTTTGTTTGTTTGTTTTGTTTATACATGCACTGGGTACAGCCAGAAGCGCGGGAGGGTGAGAGAATTCACCAGAGCCAGAGTGGGGAGCAGAGCAGGCAGAAGGACCGAAGCACACCGCTGAGGGGAGCAGCGGGCGGCAGGAGAGGTCTGCGCGCCATGTGGGACCCTCCTCTGGTGGCCGGGGAGCAGCCGGGGATCGAACCGGCGTCGCAGAGGCTGCGGGCAGCTTCGCAACCCAGCGCTCAACCACTGCGCCACCGGGGAGGCCCTGGTTTTTTCACATGTATCTTAAGTTTATGGTATTTGCTAAATTTTGTTTCAGTGATGAAGACATAAAGAATTTGGTTGTTTTGGAAGCTATTAAAGGAAAGATATCGATAGTAGAGAAAATAGATTCTAAATCGCACAGGACTTTATTAAAGATGGTGTTTTGTAGGAAAATGTGTTTGTAACTCCAGCAGCAAGGGTTACAATGATTGTAGTTTTATAAATAAATGTTCTGGGGTGGGATTTCCGAGTCGGTGCTCCAAAGGAAGACAATTCACAGCATCCATCTCAGGCAAAGAAGTTCCTTAAGAGAACTGGAAGGTAAAAGCACGCAGTGATGCAAGCTGTCACCTGAGTGGTTAATTTCATGAAAACAAGGCATTTGATATATAGTCAAGTCTTTCTGTAATAATGCCAGGGAGTGACCTTAAGAAACAGGTGTTGTTGCAAAAAGAAAAATAAAGCTCCAGATTTTCTGACCTTTTCTGGGATGACAAGTGGCTTTCAATAATATAGGTACGTAGCAGGTAAAATTGAAGAAACTGATTTCTTTCTTTATCCTTAAGTTTAAAAGTGGATTTAAATTTCAAGTCAAGGTGCTGCTTGGAACAATGAATTCTAAATTAACTGCTTTTTTTTTTTAAAAAAAAAAGAAACATGCTACAGAGAGATCATTTTGAAACAGTTGTTTTTAAATGTTTCTAACAGGTTGTGATATTAGCTTTGATTCATATGGTTACAATAAACTCCCGAAGGTACACATTTTACATATTTTACTATTCAAGTAAACTAAATTTAGAACCTGGTTTTCCCGTTACAAAATTGCAGCGTGGTAAACTAATAAAAGAAAACACTTTCCATTACATTGATCCAAAATATGAATGCATTCATTTTAGATCATATTAATCACATTTATATTAATAATTAATATAAGCTTTTAGTGTTAACCAAATATTTTAGTATTGTTAATAAAAGTTAACGTAAAACAGGTTTCGTTTGTTGATTTCTTGTCCTTTTAGCAATCTATTTGGTGATGGTGTAGGTATAGTTATGATTACGGTAGAACATGATAGACATTTGAATAGACAAACACTCACATATAAAGATATTGGGGCTGCATCATCAAAATATTTTTCTGATGGGAGTGTTCAGTCAAAACACCTTGCTCTCTTGGTTCAATCACCAACTGTGCTTCATTTTCCTCCTCCACCTCCCTCCAAGTACTTGGCTAGATGATGGTTAAATGAGTAAAGTGCCAGGGAATGGCTGCATCCCAGTGACCCAGCAGATCTTGGAACATTCTGGAACACTGGACATTTCTATCTCATACCAAAGCAAAAGCTGCCTCCTTGTCCTGACTTGACCACATCACATGCAGACTCTTCCTCAACTGGGTGACTTTCAGCAGCCTGGAAGATCCTTAGTCTTATCTTCTCAGAGTGGATCTAACTCGTTTTGGGTTACCTGATATCTCATCCCATTCCAAACAGCACCGAGTCTCTCTAGAGTATTCCCTGTGTGGCTTTTTTGGGAAGGGAGCAGCTACTGCCCACTGTCCAGCCTGAGGTCAGCAAGGGAGCTTGCATGTGATATTCCAAGACCTGTGCATGCGACACAGGGTGTAAGATAGTTGGAGCCTGTAACTGCCCTCAGAGGTCCTTCTAAAGGTTTGTGTATCTTAGCCCAGCACACACCAACATAGCTCTTAATTCCCTGTGCTCCTTCCAGCCTCTGCATCTTTGCATGTTCTGTTTCCTCTGAACTACCGTCTTTAAACTCAGCTCTCAGGTGAGTGTAGCAGACTCTGTCTACACCCAATGAGTCCTGGGGCTTTGATGGAAGGGTCTAGATGGACAGACAATGTCTCTCAAGCACTTGCCTCTGCGTTTCTGCCTGAGAGTCCCCTGTGGCTGCAGCCCAGCATTCAGCCAGATCCTCCTAGAGGGTGGAAGTGCTGGGGTGGGGCACACACAACCCCTAAGAGCACCCTTCAGATGACAAGGGGTGCAGAGGTGAGGATGAACACCCAGCATCCTCAGCAGTGGGGCAGTGAAATCTCTCAGCACATCCCAGAGTGACTGCATGCCAGTTTGCCCATGGGTCAGCGATCTGTGGCTGTGCCTTTTATCACCTTCCTTCCTCTCTGCATTCATCCCCCAGATGAGTCCCTCACATCTAAGCCCAAACTCAGTGTCAGTTTGTGGGTGAGCCCAGGCAAAGATAGTCAGAGCTCCCCGTTACAGATAGTCTCATTCACAGTACCACACATAATTTGAAGCAGTATACTTTGATTGCTCAATTAATGTTTGTCTCCAGTACATTCTAAACTCACTGAGTACAAGGTCCTGTCTGTCTTGCTCCTCCCAGATCCCACAGACCCCAGCACCCTGCCTGGCACCAATAAATTCTCAGTAATCACTTGATAAATGAAGACATGAATGACTTGGGTCTGGGACTAAACCTGACTAATCTCCCTCACTTCTTCTGTGTGATTTGCAGCAAGTGACAACAGGATCTCTTGAAGCATCAATCGCCTTTCTGGAAAAGGAAGCTAATAATGTCTGCAGCCAGAGCACCAGCAAAGACAAAGGGGTGGAAAGGCAGACATATTCCAAGAGGCAAACACCTGTTCTGGTTGGTTTTTACCTGCTCCCTCCTCATGTGCTGGGATATGACATTGAAGTGCTCTTGACATAGAGACACACTTGGGTAATTGCACCACGCATGCTTCCCTCCAAATGGAGTCCAGTCTCCACCCCTGGTGCAGGGGTGCATTGAATGTCAGGAAAGTAGCAGCTTAGAATTAGTCCAGTGAATGTTCTCAAGCTAACTGTTGGAGAGGTGACCAAAGATCCATGATATCTAGTAATTTGCCAATTTGCTCAGGCACCTGTTGGAAGTACCTCAGATTGGCATGAGGAATGAATCATCATGAAGCTCACGATCAGCCTCATCAACAGCCAGCATCCACCCTCAGTGTGGATTTGTAATGTTTCAGCAGAGTTGTCTGTGTGGTGACTCCCATTCAGGGTCTATTGGGATCTTTGGTTCAGTAAGTTTAGCCAGATTTTATTATAGTTTAACATTAATTTATAGATCATTACTTAGAATGGTATATATGTACATATATTTAGTTTTTTTAGATTTATTTATTTTATTTATACAAGCACTGGATACAGTCAGAAGCGCGGGAGGGGTTAGAGAATTCACCAGAGCCAGAGCAGGGAGCAGAACAGGCAAACTGACAAAATACACTGCTGAGGGGAGCAGTGGGTGGCAGGAGAGGTCTGCGCGCCATGAGGGACCCTTGCCTGGCGGCCGGGGATTGAACTGGCGCTGCAGAGGCTGTGGACAGTAACTCGCAGCCCAGCGCTCAACCGCTGCACCACCAGGGGAGGCCCTACATATATCTACTTTTACAGATATTTGTATATAGCTATATTGTTTAGCATTTTATTATTTATTATATTTACATTATTATGTTTTATATTGGTAAAGCATTTTGCTCAGTAGGATGCTGAGGATTTTTCAAGACCTTGCTACATAAACCTTAGGGACCTCAAGGTTTTCCTCTATCAGTTAGAATTAGTTAGCCTGACTTGAAACAGTAGGATCTTGGGTTCTCCTGGGTCCCCTGGATAACTGGAGGTCATTCTAGTTACCCCTGCCTGTTTGCTTTATGAGTGTCCTATGTGGCAGAAATGTTCACAATTAGTCTTTTCTCCACCATCTTTCCAATGGATGGTGCTATGGAGGCAGGATGGAAGTGGACATCTATGGCAGCCTGCTTGCCTGCTTGCCTGCCTAGCATCCCTAATCTCCTTTAGTGAAGAGAAACATTCCTTTTCTTGTAGGGACCAGTTTACTTAGGCCTGACCAAGGAGGGCCAAAGAGGCCAGTGAGAGATCAATATGAAAATAAAGTCAACAACAACAACAACAAAAAAAGAAAGTCAACATAGAGAAAACTAGCTGAGATATGGATACGGCCAAGTTCAGGTAATAATGTTGAGCTCCTGGAGCAAACGGTACCTGAAGCTGAGACTTTCCATTGCCAGTTTCATGAATCAGTTATATCTCTTTTATGCTTAAATCAGTTTAGGTTGGGTTTCTGTCTTTTGCAGAAACAGAAGGCATTCTGGCCCATACAGAAGGCGTTCTGGCCCATACAGAAGGCATTCTGGCCCATCTCTACTCTAGGCTATAAAAGGCCCCATGAAACTTTAGAAATTTAGGCAAACAAGCAGGAGACCAAAGGTGGCTACTGTCCCCTGGGACTTCTGTCTGCATGTGTAATCAGCTTTTGCCACCATCTTCTCTAGCCACTCGAAGACACAAGGTTGATAGCAAACTATTCATATTGAGGAGTCAGTAATGACACCCCCCTCCCATGACAATCCTTTGGCTCATCCCATAGGACTGTTCACCATGCTTCTGTCCTCCCAGGCTGTCCCTAATCAAAAGGGCACACACTTTGGAGTCAGATTCTGGCCCTGCCACACAGTAGCCATGGGACTTTGGTCATTTTTGTAGCCCACCTTGTTCTGAATTCCCTGTGGTTGTGATAACTTTATCCACATCCTAGGGTTTTTCATAAGGATTCAAGGGCCTATGTAAACAGGCTTCACATAACTTGTAGCATATAGCTGACACTCAATCACAGGTAGCTGGTTTACCAGTCACGAGATATTTACTGAGCCCTTCTGGGGTGCCAGGCCCCTCGCTAAGGATTTTACAGGCACTACTTCATTTAATTCCCCCAACAACCCTAGGAGGTGGCTCTGCTGTACTCCCCATAGGCCAGACACTCTGTTAAGTCCTTCACAAATGACGAAATCATTAAATCTTTGAAAGAACCGGAGCACAGAGTTGGAGGAGCGTGACAAAGGCTGCACAGCACTGCCCTGGATGGCTGCTGCCGGGCCACACAGGGCAGGCGATGCAGCTGTGCCCATGGGTTCCACCTGCCTCAAGGCATTACCCAGGCATCTGAATGGAACCAATTCAAGATTTGGGGACAAGTTTCTGGGGGAGAGAACGGCAGGATGAAGCATCGCGAGAGCTAGAGGACACCTCTCTCCGGTTTGCATTTTGCCAGCACATCTGGGAACGGCGAGGCGGCAGCCGGCTGCCACATTCCTCATCCGGCTAGGACGGCGCTCTGGCTGCTGGGATGGGAACCTGGGCTCTGGAATGTCAGGACAAATCCAGACAGCATTAGTTTGCACCCAAGCTGGGAACCAATAAAACAATGACTGGAAAATAATAATCTACAAACTATTCTTGCTGTAATGTTTCCACAGAAATATACTATGTAGCAAGCTAAGTACATTCTTGGAAACTTGGAAAACCCCCAAAACTGGTAGAAGCAACTATTTTTTTTTTTTTTACTATTTCACAGAGAAGAGAGAGATAGAGGGAAAAAACACACACTTCTTGGATTTAACTTTGTTCACACAAACTTCCTATTTTTCAAAGAAAAACTGGCACCATTTAATCAAAGCATGAAACTATCACTCCAGCAATTTTCAAAAGTTGCTTAAAATTGTGTGACTTGGAAAATTAATTTCTGTCCAGAAGAAGAAACCCGAAACAGGTCTTCTGAGTGAAAATGATTGCCCTCCTTCCCCCGCAGGAGGCACATGGAACAGTGGAAAGGGGCAGGGACAGAAGCTCAGCCAGACAAAAGGCCTGCAACTTGCCTAAAATAGAAAATAAAAGTTAGCAAACCTTTCCGCCTAGCAGGCCCCCTCTTTTTGCAGTCCGCTCTAGAACAGGGAGTAACAGGTAGGAAGCCATCCCTGAGGCTGGTCCTGAAGCATGCAAGTCCCTGAGGCAGTTAAGGTAGAAGTTAAGGCCCAGATTCTCTTTACCCCTATCACCTGGGGTTTGCTTCCCACTTCTGGGGAGCAAGTGCACCCCCAGGCTGACTTGCCTAACTCTACACCCCTCTCCCCTCACCCCTGTTCTCCCAGGCAGCAGCTTTGCTTTGTTCTGCTGAAGCAATTCAAATCACATCGCTGTTTGGCTTCTCCTTAGAGATCTTTGGAGAAAGAGACATCTGACAGGAGCTTTGCTGAAGAAGTCACTGGCCAGGTAAGTTGTTCCTAACTGCGGGACAAGCCTTGGCTTTGAAGTGTGAAGGGCCAGGATTCAAAACCCAGTTTTGCCACTAGTCGTGTTACCTGTGAAAGGGGGAGGATCACTCCTGTCTGTGGGTGTGGTGTGAGGTTGAGGGTTACAGTGAACAGGGGGGGCCTCAGCTTCCACCCTGCCTGGGCCATCTCGCTAAGCACACCTGAGGGGCCAGCAAGGCAAGGAACAAGGGGCAAGGAAAGAAAGCCCCACACCCCACCCTCCCCGCCCCTGCTGGTACTAATCCTCATCTGGAACCTCACTAATGCACCACGAGGAAGATGCACCCCAGCCGGGAAGCGATGCCCGCACCCCCTCGCGCCTCGCCAATGGGAAGTCACACCCTCCAAGCGCAGCTTCCTTCCGAACCAGAGAGCTGGACTGTCCCATAAACAGGGCTTTGTTCCTTCTTTTTCCCGCTCCTCTCCCTTCCCCCGCTGCCTCCCTCCCTCTGCCCCGGCCGGGCCCCGGCGCGCACACAAAAGGCGCCCGCGAGGCGGACGTGCGGGCCGGGGGCTTGTTTACCCCGCGGGGCGCCCCGGCCAGACGCTGCCCGGCGGCGCCACCTACCGGCGGGACGCGGCACTGCGCCGGGCGCGGGCCGCCGGCGGCGATGACCCAACGCCGCAGGCATCTGAGGATAACCTTTCCCCTTTCTTTCCAAGACCAAATAAGGGGGCGCTTCCCTCTGCGCGCCGGGCCAGCGGCGGTTGGTCCGAGGGGCGTGGAAAGGAGGATCCGGGAACTGGGCTGACGGGCTGCAAAACAACCGACCACATTGTTCCGCGGCCGCCGGTCTCCACCGAGGGCAGGCGGGCGCCCCCTGCAGCGGTGCACGCGGGGACCCGGCGGGCGAGCGGGCCAGGGCCCCCCCGCAGCCCCCCAGGCCGCGCCGCCCCACACCCCAGCCCTCAGAAGTGGAGGGCGGGGTGCCCGCGGGGTCGCGCCCCTTTGCGGCGCTCCCTGCAGACCCTCCGGGGCCCCGGGCGGGGGGCACAGCCCGAGGGGGAGGCAGGCCGGGCTGCCAGGCCTCGGAGCCCTGGCGTCGCCCCCGAGGAGGGAGTCACCGGTGGTTGACAGTGTGTGGTAACCACAGAAACCGAGATTTGACCTATATTTTCGAATATGGCCTCAACTCTAGTTTTCCTTCTAGAAGTCAAAGTCAGAGAGTCTGACCTGACTGGCTGTTCATTTTCCTCCTGCTTTGGATTCCAGGATGCCACCCAGAAGCTTGGGCAAGTCAGAAGAGCTCTGGTGCTGGGTGGCGACGACTCGAGAGGGTCCCCGCATTTGGGGCCAGGAGGCAGGGCCAGGCCCAGCGGGCGGGCCCCTCACCAACCCCCTGCCCACCCGTGGTGGGTATGGTTTGGCAGGGCAACTGGCAGATATTTACCAGGATTTTAAATATGTAAACCGTTTGGCTATTTGATTCCACTTCTGAGTTCATCCTATGTGGGTAATGGGTAGTGTATATTCAGATGGTGCTGGCAGGCTCGAGGCTTAACTGAGCATTTACTATGTGCTGGGAACTATTCTAAATAGTTACAAGTACCTGCTCATAACATGCCTGTGCAGCAGGTTATTATAGCCTCCGTTTTATAGAGGAGGAATCTGCCTCAGAGGTTAGAGCTCCACCCTGAATCACCCAGCCAGAGTGGATTTATGGTAGACTCTGGGATCCAGAGCCTGTGCCCTTGACCGCAACACTAAATGTTTATCGATGGGGATTTGATTAATTTAGAGTACATCCGTATAACGGAATACTCTCCAGCCACTTAAATGGTGATGTAGATTGGGAATAATTGGCATGGAAAAATGTCCATGACGTACTGTTGAGTGAAAACAGCTGGTTCCACCACTGCGTGCATGGCACCATCCCGCAGCGGCACAGGAGGGCGCTGGCGGCGCGGGCTGCGGTCACCTGTGCCGGCAGGACTTCAGGTGGGTGATTTCACAGGGATGTTTTCTGTATTGTTGAACCCATGCGTTTTGGAAATGAGTGCATATTATTTTCTACTTTAAAAAAGGCTATTTTGCTTTTGAAAAAGTGACAAAATATTGGGCCTCCCTGGTGGCGCAAGGGGTTGAGACGCACCCTATGAAACTGTCTGCAGCCACTGAAGCCTGAGTTCGATCCCCAGCCAGGGAGATAGCCACATGGCGCAGCAGACCTCTCCTGACTCAACCGCTGCTCCCCTCAGCAATGTATTTCAGTCAATCCACCCATTCTGTTCCCCACTCTGTCTTTGGTGAATCCTCTCACCCCCCACACCTCTGGCCTGTACCCCAGCTCTTGTATGAATAAATAATCTTTATAAAAAAAGACAAAATATTTCTCAGATTATATATCAGAGATATGTAGAATATTTTACTATCTTTTAATATTTCAAACTACTTATTATTCATTATTTAAAATATAACAATTTTAAGATTATATTTTGATATGAAATATATCAGAGAAATGTATAAATATGTATCAGAAATATACACACGTTTTTCATATAGGTATACTGTATACACATAGGGGAAACCACTGTTGAGGCTCTACTCAGATCCCACTTTCTCCAGAAAACCTTCCCAAATCCCTAACGTTGGAAGGAACAGCTCCCCACGCCCCGTACAAGTGAGAACTTGTGTCCAGACACTCAGCTACGTGAGCACATACCTATGTCACCAGCTAAACTGTAAACTCAGAAAGGGAGGCATAGATTGTTGAACTTTTCCCCCTGTTCCTTGCACAGCAGTTTACTCATTGCAGGTTTCAAGTATTTATTGATAGATGGGTAGAAATCCACATTGATGGAACAATCCACAGAAGAATGAATTAATTGCATAATTAGATGTTTGATGCCTGCAGTCTGTTAGCCAGATGATGGTTGCCTTGGGAATAGAGATGTGTCTGTGCTATTTAGCTCCATATCCTGGTACTTGGACAGTGCCTGGCACATAGTAGGTGCTCTGTAAATGTTTACTAAGTAAATGAGCCCAGAGCTGCTCTGTCCCAAGGGGTTCTTCCCCTTGAGAAATTGAAACTAGTTTCTTCTCCTTGTGCAGGAACCTATGTTTACCAGGTGATTAAGCATCTCTTTGAGGCAGACTTCTCAGCAAGAACTGGCTCTAGTTACACAGCAAAATATAGGGTAGCTCCTGGGATTGATGGGAATGGAGGGGGAGACTTGGAAGGGAGTGAAAGAAAAACTTGGCTAAGATCAGGCCAGAGAGGTTGGCTGGCACCCTAGCCACTGCCTCCTCCCCACATAGGCACCCTCTCTGTGACCAGATGTCACCATCGTAAATGGATTCCATCTTGTCCCTTCATCTTTGGTGTGTGTGTGTGTGTGTGTGTGTGTGTGTGTACAATAAACATATTGTGTATGTGACGGTATTGGTGTCTCAGCTCCAACTTCTCCAAAAGAGATGCTCTTTACAAATCTCCCCTCACCTCCAACAACGCAACCCTTCATTACACGCAGGTGGACCTGGTTTCCAGAGCTATGTGCCTGATTTTGTGTTCACAGCTTTGGAATTCATCCCCTATGCGGCTCAGTGCCTTTGCAGGAAGTTCCAATTTAGCATCCTGCAGAAATTTGCCAATTAGGTGATAATTACAAGGGTCTTGGCCTGATGATAATTTGCTAAATTGTCCACTTAGGATTTCGGTATCCCACTCTATGCGCATTTATAAACATACGGACCTGAAATATTTAAAGCTTCATACATTTACTACTACAGGAGAGGCAGATGGCTTTGTTTGAAAGGGAATGAGTTGGTTCTTGGACAAAGTGCAAGAGATAGCAATGCTAGTTTTAATCTTGATCTGGGATCTTGAGAGATCAAACTCTTGCATGGTTAGGGTGAGATGCTATGTGAGTGTAGGAGTGGCCCCCAAGGCAAAGGCACTGTGACACTGGCTGGTGGGGAGGGCATATAAAAAGAAACCACACTCTGACTACCTCCTATCTCCTCTGCCAGCCCAACCACTTTTAGTCATTTGTTCCATTGACTGCCTAATATCTTTCCACTAGGGTGGTAACAACTATTGCAAAGACTCCATTCTGGAGACTTTCTCTGGCCCTTCACAAACTCTGCTCTGCCTCATGGTGTCCGGGAGGGGAAAGTCAATCATCAGCCATGGCCTGTAGGCATCTTCTAACAGCCTCTCACTCTCTAAATGGTGTGTAGTCCACAACAGTCAGCTTGAGATAGGTTCTGCTGCGGTAACAAATAGCTCCCCAAACTCAGTTGCTTAAAACAGAAGCATTTCTTTCTTTTTAAAAAATTAATTGATTTACCATTGATTGCCAATCATATATAAATTTGGGGGGTACATCATCATCTCTATGTATTTATAAACCTCATTTCACCCACCACCAGAGTTCTAGTGCCCTCATTGCTATCACATGAATGCCCTCTCCCCAACTTTCCTAAACCCTTTCTCCTCCCCCTCTAGTAACCACTATATTTTTCAGCATCAAAGAGTTATTTTTTGTCATGTTTTGTACCTCATTTTTTGTATTTGTAGTTCACCCATGAGTGACACCATTCAGTAACTGTCTTTCACTTTCTGATTTATTGTCACAGTACAACCCCCTCAAGTTCCATCCTATCGAAAATATTTCACCCTTTTTTGATAGAGGAACTCTGAATAGCGGCCTGTGCTGCTGTTTGGAGAGCTGCATGGCCGCTGCAACCGTGAGCTAAAAAGCAATTGCCCAGAATCAGCTGGTCCCTTGACCCCTGCTGGCTGAGGCCTGGCTATGTGCTCTTGGTCACCCTACCTGGCTCTGGTCACCTACCCTTCTCCTAACCTGTACCCCTTGCTCCACTGAAACACCCACTCTTCCCTCTCCAGGGCCAAAAATA